TTATCCCTAAAATTTTATTTGACCAACATGGTATTAGGAATTGGGTTCTATTAAAGTGAGATTCTTTTTTCCTTTGGGTGAAAACAAACATAGAATGCAAAAAAAAAAAGGATTCATAAAAAACTAAAACTTGTCTATAAATTTTAAACGGATTAGGTTGGAATCCATAATAAATAGGTTCCTAATCCTATTCCTAGCCTCTATTGAACCAAACAGGCTTTAAGCCCCACAAGTAACAATGAGGATAACCTGGTCGGATCAAAATATATCGACCAGAACCCGATATTCAATCCATCTCAGATTAAAATGGGTCAAGATAGAGTTTGGATTAATCAAAATATTCCGCCCTATTTGCCACGCCCACAAATTTTGCCTCTTTGCGCTATGACTACAATCTACACTCTAAGTTCGCAAAAAAAAAAAAAAATCTACCTACGTGTCAAAGAGCCCTAACACTTTCTAAACATTTGTTTATGCAAATAGTGTAGTTTGGGGGCAACATGGGGCAAAATAAGCACGCGCGAGTCAAATCACATCGACGCGAGTTTGCCCCAAAATCGAAAACCCTAATTTCTCCCCCACAATATAGAGAGCGGCGCGGCGGCCCAAGAAGATTCCCGGTGGAGCGTGTTCGACATGGTGAAAGCCCTCCCTCCGACTCCCTCGCCGGAAACCCTGATGCCGACATCGGACGCCGCCATCGCCGCCTCCGAGCTCGCCGCCTCCAACCAGAACAGTAGCAAAAGCCAAGCCTCAGGATGCATTCGAAAATTCAAATCGCGATGATGATAGAGTCGCGGCGTCTATGACGCTTAGAGCTTGCCGACGAGCTTACAGGGCGCGTGCGCTCTCTCGCCTCCGGCGCACGACGCGGCCGTGCGATCGCCTGCGCCCGCCATTGCCAGCTGGCCCGCCCGACAAGGCGTCGGCGGTGTCGTGTCGAAGCTGAGGTCTTTGATGGCTATTGCCGAGTCTCAGCTGAAGCAGCAGCGGAAATCATAGAAGGCCTTCCACCTGCTTCCCTGCGTAATCACTGAGTCGCTAGTGTCGCATTTTGTTTGCTTGTAGCTGGAAAAAGTGAAATGGTTAGCTTGCACGTTGAGGTTTGGTTCCTGTCTACTGCTTTCCTTAGTGAGATTCTGGTGGTTGGTTCTCGTGTCAAACGATTTCAGCCTAGTTAAATTGCCGCGGCATTCGAACTCCATGTTTCGTGCTTGTACATCCCATCTGAGGTATGAGACTGTTACGGCTGTGGTCAAGTGGAAATCTATCTTGAAGCAGGCAGACGTTTGGCATTGAATTCCTACAGAGTCGGTGCTAAAAATTCTAGGTGGTTGTGGGAGAGCATACGTGGCTTTTACGACATTGATACTAGACGCGACCGTCTGTGGGATGTTTTACCTCAATAAGATAAGAGATTGGGATGTCTGTTTTCTACTTTATTCTTTTAATGAGAAATTGTCCAGTGGGTTTGACAGATAAAGCTAGTCCAACTAGAATCTTTGAGGTTTTCTATGAATGGTTCTCTAAGATTTAGTTTCTATGAAACCCATGAATCTTTCAATCCATAGCGTTTTTGTTTTGAATCTACTTTTACGCGTGCAGACTGATTGGATATGATATTTGCCATATATCTATCTATCCACTTAATAATTGCGGATGTGAATACAAATACGGGCATAGTTAGGTGAGGAAAACTCATATATTATGAATACGGATACGGATCTGATAATCCAAGGTCAAAACAACTTCAACCGTTGAGTCAATACATATATTCCAATATTTAGGTAGAGATCCAGATGGTTTATTTATACCGGTATGGTTCTTTGTATCCGATAATTTTTTTTAAATTGACATCAATAATGAACCTATGGATATAGGTATTGAAATATCCCTAATTTCTATTTATAATAAGCCTAGTTTTATAAATTTTTAGTAGATATTCAAACAATTGGGTTGACTATAGTAATTTATAAATATAATATTACTTTAGGGCTTTTATGTTTCTATTAAAAGTATTTATATATATGTTTTTTAAGGGGCTAGTGGTGAAAGGAAATTTACTATGGGGTTTATTGGAAGTAGAAAACTAATATAAGAGAGAAAATGAAACCCTAGCATCATACCTTCAGAAACCGCAGTCAATAAAAAAGAAAAATGAAATGAGAAAGAAAACATGCTGTGGCCAGAGAAGAATAACTGAGGGAAAAAAAGGGTTATATTATTAGATTGGCCAACTTTGGAGAAGTGAGTTGCCAATACTCTTTCGTAGTCGATTCTGTGCTCTCCACCACTCTTCTTTTGAGATCGAGGTGATCTTTTCAACATCAATTGGTAAATGCTCTTGTTGCTTTGTCATACTTATTGAAGCTTAGAAAATAATAATAACTCAAATAGGAATGGTCGATCTAGTCTGTGTTCACATTGATCCTATAATGATTTTTAGCAAATGAAGAGTTGAGCGTAAGTGTAGCAATGATCTATTACCCGTAAGCTTGTTAGTATAAGTTCTTATCTACTCATAAACAGCGAAACTAAAGAATAGAAAATAAAGTATAGTGATCTTGTTATTCTAAACTTGAAACTAACAATTATGGATCTAAGTCCTTTAATTTAATCCATATGGATGCTTTGAGGTTGGCCTTGACATTAGACAATAGAATAGTATAATTCGCCATAAGACCAATAGAGTCGAGCACACTTTGGGTTGCTAAGTTAGGTCCATGTGACCCGTATAAAACTAGTGTCTGATCTAATATGATAACTATCATTTCTTTTAGTTAGTATATCCTGAGATTATTTTAATAGATGTTCGGGTTTTAGATTATATTGTAATTTTGATGGTTATTTGTATATATTATGTAGGAATCACAAGTGACTTCGAGGAGGCACCGTGACTGGTATTCCAATAGTCTTTCGTGTTTGAGTAAGTGGTGAATTTATGCATTATGCGCTGCGTATTTTTTTTATATAAAATTATAACTATACTTGGATTTGTTCCTGATGGATTATTTTCTTTTATGTCATTTACTTGCATATTAAATTGATTTGGATGTGATCCACATGGATATTTGGTATAAGCCTATGCTTATTTTCTTTGTCAATTGTTGTCTTTTCATATAGTAGCAGGTTGAGATGCATATGTAGTTGATTGATTTCACTATTGGTTGGCCTTTAGCATTTTTGTATAACGTATTTAGTTTTGCGAACGTTGTTTAATTCTCTTAAAGCATATGCATCTCAGGTCAATATACCGGTATATGTCGGAAATAAACAAGTTATTAAAACATGGCTCAATGTGCCTCAATGATGTTTTTATTTTAGCGCTAAGAGCCCAAGTTTGGATCTCACCGTCCCGACCACGGGCTATATAATAGTGGGGTTTGCCAAGTCAACCAGAGTATCGAAGTGTTGACCGTATTGAGACGTGACCTGCTTATTTCCATTGCATGTATATATTTTGAAAATATTGCATTATAATTTTTACTATTTTAGTATTTTGTTTATCAAGTCAATTTATTTTAGTTTTGCAAAACCAATTGCATTATAATTTTTACTATTTTAGTATTTTGTTTATCAAGTCAATTTATTTTAGTTTTGCAAAACCAGTGTCTAATGTATGAATTTATCTATTTTAGTTTTGCAAAACCAGTGTCTAATGTATGAATTTATCCACTTATTGAGTTGTGAACTCATTGTATTGTTTTCATTCTTTTTAGAGACTCGGGATTAGGTAGAATTGAGGATTTGTCAAATTTTTAGAAGGGAGCAAGGAATATAATTCGAGATTGTTATTGTCATCTAGGCGAAGGTTAAATAAAGTCTTTGATGTTTAGTTGATGAATTGAGAGTTTTGTAATAATGAGATTCTTTCCTTTAGGTCGAGTTTCATTTTAAGTTGAGGAATAATTGTTTTTATCAAGTTAATTGGATTACTGTTGACTTTTGGAATTATAAAGAATATTTATTGTTGGTTTTTAGTTCGATGAAGAGTTTATTTTGATGGTCTTTTAATGAATGCATATTTTGGAGGATTTTTCACAGGTTTAGTCCGGCTCCAATATTTCTTTTAGGTTCGGAATTTGGGGTCGTATGGTTAGCTTGCACATTGAGGTTTGGTCCCTGCCTACTACTTTCCTTAGTGAGATTCTGGTGGTTGGTTCTCGTATCAAACGATTTCAGCCTAGTTAATTGCCACGGCATTCAAACTCCATGTTGCGCGCCTGTACATCCCATCTGAGGTATGAGACTGTTACGGCTATGGTCAAGTGGAAATCTATTTTGAAGCAGGCAGACATTTGGCATTGAATTCCTGCAGAGTCGGTGCTAAAAATTCTAGGTGGTTGTGGGAGAGCATATGTGGCTTTTACGACATTGATACTAGACGCGACCGTCTGTGGGATGTTTTACCTCAATGGGATAAGAGATTGGGATGTCTGTTTTCTACTTTATTCTTTTAATGAGAAATTGTCCAGTGGGTTTGACAGAGATAAGAGATTGGGATGTCTGTTTTCTACTTTATTCTTTTAATGAGAAATTGTCCAGTGGGTTTGACAGATAAAGCTAGTCCAACTAGAATCTTTGAGGTTTTCTATGAATGGTTCTCTTAGATTTAGTTTCTATGAAACCCATGAATCTTTCAATCCATAGCGTTTTTGTTTTGAATCTATTTTTATGCGTGCAGACTGATTGGATATGATATTTGCCATATATATATTTATCCACTTAATAATTGCGGATGTGAATACAAATACGGACATAGTTAGGTGAGGAAAACTCATATATTATAAATTACGGATACGGATCTGATATACCAAGGTCAAAACAACTTCAATCGTTGAGTCAATACATATATTCCAATATTTAGATAGAGATCCAGATGGTTTATTTATACCGGTATGGTTCTTCGTATCCGGTAAATTTTCTTAAATTGGCATCAATACATGAACCTATGGATATAGGTATGCAGTATCCATATTTGTATCCTGGCAGTTTTGGATAGCAGCTTCTGAATGGTGGATACAACTTTGTATAAAATGACTCCCAGAGTTTGATATGTTCTTAATAGAGCAATCAATTACAGTCTTGTCAAAAGGCAAAACTAACAGCTTCTCCAGCATGATTGAAAACATGAAAAAGAAAATTTGCTCTTATCTGAGAAGGCTTCTGATTTCAATTTGCGACCTTTTGTTGAGAATAATATAAATTCTACTTGTAACATTGATAAAACCATTAAACACTGAAGCCATACTGGATGAAAGTACACGCCATGAGAGGCTGTTATGAAATTGAAGCAATGAATTGCATCACTATCCTTTTCTTAGCTACTAAGAAGATAATAATTTGATTTTATTTACTTATAATAGTTGCGCATTTTTTTGTGTTTTTTCTTTTTTTCTGGGGAGGGGGGAGTTTTTTTTTTTTTTGTGGGTGGGGGGGGAGGGGGGAGTTTTTTTTTTTTTTGTGGGTGGGTGGGGGATTGGGTTTCTGAGTTCTGGCCATTGCAGTCATTTATAAACTACAACATTATTATTAATAAAATAAACTGATATTTCTTGTTTTAGGTTAATAGTGATGATTTGTGCCTTCTTAATTGCAGGGAGTTGTTTTAGGCTTTTCCTTTTAATCTCATGATTGAAGAAAGCTTGAGGAGCACATCCGTGGCATTTCTACAGGACTACCTGGCTTCTTATGAGGATTTCCTATCCTGTGCATATTTTGTATTTAAAACTTAGAAGGTTGACAAAATCTATCCTGTGATACTCACACGAAAAACAATATAGAGATTCAGTATCGAGCGGGAACAGATTGGAAATGTAATTAGCTATTATATGTTTCCTTGCACATCCAATGCAATTCATGTGATTTCCTTTCAGATCTTGTATCAAGCAGTATGCAGATTGAGATGTATGTTGTCTGGTGTTAGGTTCTGTATAATTGTTATAGCACGTAATTTCAAGTGTTAATCTCAGTTTAGTTACTCTTTAATTCAACACATTTAACTGTTCTGATGTCTGCATTTCTGTTCATTTTTTTGTTGATTCGCTTGAGTGTTGTTACGCAATGTGATCTCATTGAAAAATCTTAAAACTATCTGTTAAATCATCTACTTTGTTTGATTATTATGCAAAAGGTTCGTTGTGCGACCCTTTGTGTGGAAAGTATGTTGTGATTATGTAACTGGAAATCTATGTGTCTAGTGGTTTGTTGTGCAACCCTTTGTGTGGAAAGTGTGTTGTGATTATGTACCTGGAAATTTTTGTGTTCAATGGCAGACTTCTTGTGCAATCGAAAAATGCAAAGACTGTTTGGATGGGTACTTTGTGTGTGAAAACCAGATCTAGTGTTCAAGATCTTATTCGATACAAGTCATCATCAGGTGATTTGAATGCTGGAAAGTTGAAGTCACAATGAATTTCAAATGCTTTATTTCATTGGCAATTTTTGTACAATAAAATTTTTTTAATCATTTTTATGGGAAATACATCTTTTTAGGTTCCACTAGTTCCAAATAGGTATCCCCATATGAATCTGTTTTATATACTTCAAATATTCTTTTCAGTTACAAGTCTAGCTATGGCTAGTTATTCATAACGTTTTATATTACTAATAAAGTGCAAAATCGAAAGAGGGGCAATCACTAGAACTGTGTTTTATGCTCACAATGGAAGAAGTATGTTTTCATTTTTATGTAGATGCTTAATTTTTTCTGTGTATATTGTCAATTTATAATACAGGAGGAAATTTTCACTGTAGACTCGATTCAACTTTTTATTACCGAATTCGACCTTGTTGATTTTTAATTAGCGGAATCGACCCGGTTTCTCGCCACGTCAGCGCCGTGGCGAGAAAGCGGGTCGATTATTTTTTAAACGGCCTCGTAAACAGTCGGGGTTGTTAACCCCGACTGTTTAGTCCATCCGCTACGAAACACTTAACTAATTGGTCGGGGTTGGGAACCCCGACCAATTCGAAAAGGTCTCATTTCAAATTGGTCGGGGTTCCCAACCCCGACCAATTAGTAGAGCCCAGCCGTCGCTGGGTTAACCAGTGGACGAATTGGTCGGGGTTGGGAACCCCGACCAATTCGAAGCCCATTTCGAATTGGTCGGGGTCCCAACCCCGACTATTAAGCAGAGGCCAAACGCGGTGCTTGGCCAAGGCAAAAAGTAGTCGGGGTTGGGAAACCCGACTACTTATTCTGGGCCCCCTCCACCGTATAAAAGCCACCGAACCCTATTTCCCCCGATCCCTTCTCCTTTCTCCGCCTCCCTCTTCTCTCTTCCGTCTGTTCTCTCGAAACCAAGCTTCAGATCTCAAGTTTCAACTCGTTTCTTCGGCCGAAATTCAAATCAAAAGTTATCTTAAACTTCTTTAGGTAATTTCTTCTACTCCTCTCCTCTTTTAACATGTTGAAATCTAGGATTTTTTCTTAAAAATAAATTTCTAGGGTTTTCATTCATAAATGAGTTTCGTGGGTTAGAGTTATCGCTGAAATTCGTTTGTATGATGATTGTTATCGATGTAATTAACTTTTAGAGCATAGAATGTTCAATTGTTCAATTTTAGGGTTTAGGATTTACAATTTGGGAATTAGGGTTTTTGGTTGAAATTATATAAGATTATTTGCATATTAATTTAATTTTTTTATATTTAAATGATATAATTTTCTTTTGAATAGGTTGAACAATATGATTTTTATTGCTTGTTCTTATGGTGGGCAAATTAATTATGGGATGAATATTATGCCAATGTACATCGGAGGGGTAACGATGCCATTAATGATCTCGGAATCATATAGTTACTACAACTTGGTTATGGAATTACACCGAGTTACGGAAATTGACCCACGAGAATACCGACTGAAAATTATATGCAATTGGCCCATAGCTATTGATAGAACATCCGCAGTGGAGATCTCGAACGATTATCATATGAGTATTATGTTTAAATTGGGCAAGTCGCAACAAACGGTAAAATTGTTTATTGAAAAGTTGCCACATAATTCATGCCAAATATTCAAACCTCCAGAAGAATTCTCACGCATGTTAGATATGGGAGTTCATTCCGATGGGTTTCTTTCTTCTTCGAATAAAATGGAGCGGGCTCAATTCGGTGGAACGTCAAATGTCATGAATAACGAAGTCTCTTATGGAAATATAGGTCCGTTAAGTAGGGCAACAATCGAAGAGGATGAAAGAAGCAATGACTCGGGAGGTGAAGAACAATATAGTGCACCAGTTGATAGCATGCAATTTGTTACCCAAGATGTCGAAGATAATCCGGAATGGCCTGATGAGGCTTACGTTAATAATGACTATATTGAGTACGAAGAACCACCCCCGGACGAGTTTGAAGATGATGAGTGGATTCATTCTTCCACAGTAAAAGATATGTGCATCGGTGAAAGTTCAATTCGTAGAGGTGATGATGACGCCCTCTTTAAAGTTGGTGATTTATTCGAGACTAAGGACCAATTGGTTGATGTCATTCGTGAATACTCTTTCGAAAAGAATTTCAAGTTCAAGCAAGTTAAAAGCAATCGCACAAGTTATGATGCAATATGTTTTATGAACACACAAAGAACATGTTTGACCGAGGGAAATGAAACTGATTACTCATGTCCTTGGAAGTTATATGCATTTGCAGGAAAGAAACACAATTTTCAATTTAGGATCAGTGAATACTACGATGTTCACACATGAGTCAATCCAATATTAGAGCAAGATCACAATGGTGCATCTGCCTCTTACATAGCGCGGTTGATTATGTCAAAATTAAGGAAGAAGCTTGATCTAACGCCCGATAATATAATTGAGAAAGTGCTTGATACCAAGTTCATTGAAATCTCGTATATTAAAGCATGAAATGTAAGGAGAATTGCGATGACAAAAATATTTGGTGATTGGGACAAGTCTTACGCGACACTACCTCAATATCTTGATGCGATCAAAATAAGTAATCCTGGATCTGAATACAAACTCATAACCAAAGAGATCGATCCGGGAGTTCATCAATTCACCTCTGTTTTTTGGGTATTTGGGCCTTCGATTGAGGGGTTTAAATTTTGTCGGCCTATTCTTAGCATTGATGACACACTTTGCTGCAGATATGGTCATGGGAGCGATTGTATTTGGGAACACCTGATTTGAGGGAGGCCCACGCTCTCGATGGCCATATTCCGTTAGGCTGCATGTATTATTAAGATGCATGTAATTTTAGTGCTTTATTTCAATATATACTAACACGTTGTATATAAAATAGATGGAATGTGTCCAGATCTTGGCAAACCTCTCCAAAGGGGCATGAAAACTTTTATAGAAATGAGCTTGATCAGATAGAGGATGAACAGGTATAAAAATTATAATATCTAAATATATTCAATTATGCGACCAATTGTTACCAATATCTAAATATATTCAATCAATATATCATAATATCTTCTTTATAGGTCAAATGGATGCCCTACGAGCTAGTGTTGGAGTCACTACCAGATATTTATCGGGAAGGTGAGGATGTATGGCGTGCTCGCATCCCACTTATATGCTTTGAGATTGTCGAAATGCACATGCCTGACTGTGTGCTTCGACAATTTGGACTACAGCAACATATTCCAAGACCTGTGGAGAGAATAGAGAGAAATCCAAGAAAAGGTGCACATCATGCTAATTGGAAAGTAATTCGCGAAGATTACATCCAGAGGTGGGATTTAAGGGAGGAACATGTAGTGATGGAGAGGGCTGATGCACCTGACCTAGGTGTGTACCTGCGGTGGTATTGGGGGATTACTCACCGGTGGATATTTCAGGAAAACAAAGCCCCGAAGGAGTACATACCAAGAGGCCCAGTCGAGAGAGAGTTGGTAAGTGTATAAGAAAAATATATAATTATTTGCTGAGTTTTATTTTCTCACCATCCACTTGATAATAATTTTCTTTCGGTTTTTATTTTATAGATACAAGAGCTTGAAGAGCTTTCTACTATGGCACATGACGCATTGCGCACGACTACCGAGCATGAACCGAGGAACACGTTCCTTCGAATGATAAAAAAGATACGGTCGGCTCTTTAGAGGACGCGTAATGCAAGCCGCGATGGACGGGAGGAGCGACTAATTGAGTACGGGCGGCGACGTCGACGAGGACACACGGAGGCGGGATCAAGCCATGCGCATGATGAAGCTGGCGGCTCACAGCAGGCTCAGGCTGGATGTTCACAGGCGGTTCGAGTCGACGCGGATGTCATGTGCTCCCAACTTCACACACAACGGACGAGGAACTTATCCGAGCTCACGTCGAAGGTGAACGGGGAAGGGGGAGAGGAAGGAGAGGGAGAGGGAGAGGGAGAGGGAGAGGGAGGGGGAAGGGCGTTGTTGATATTTGTTAAGTTTTGATGGACTTGATAGGATGTTTGCGTTTGAGTTGCAATTTGGACTTGATATGTTGTTTGTGTTGCGATGGATTTGATATAATGTTAAGTTTGCGAATATGAATTGTACGTATGATATTTGTGTTTGTGCGATGGATTTGATATAATGTTAAGTTTGCGAATATGAATTGTACGTATGATATTTGTGTTTGTGATTGAATTGTGGATTGATAACAGGAGTATGATTGCATTTTAGCATGTGTTATTTGTGATTACATTTTGTACTACAGGAAGTCGGTGGCTTCGGTGGGTTCGGTGGCTTATATATGGGCCCAGAAAGTAGTCGGGTTTCCCAACCCCGACTACTTTCTGACTTGGCGTAAATGGGCTTCGAATTGGTCGAGGTTCCCAACCCCGACCAATTGGTGCACTGGTTAAAACCAGCGGGGCTGGGCTCTGCTAATTGGTCGGGGTTGGGAACCCCGACCAATTCGAAATGGGACCTTTTCGAATTGGTCGGGGTTCCCAACCCCGATCAATTAGTTAAGTGTTTCGTAGCGGATGTACTAAACAATCGGGGTTGGCAAATCTGACTGTTTACGAGGCCGTTTAAAAAATAATCGACCCGCTTTCTCGCCACGGCGCTAACGTGACGAGAAACCGGGTCGATTCTGCTAATTAAAACTCAACAAGGTCGAATTCGGTAATAAAAAGTGAAAACGGGTCTACAGTGAAAATTTCCTCTATAATACAGAATGTAAGTAGCAAGAGCTAATTCTGTATGTCTCCAGGGTCCTTGTATTGGGGTACACCCAGGGGATATTGATAGTTGATCGACATCGGACAGGAGAGCTCATTAGCATATTTGAGGTCCTGCTATATTGGTAGAGTACATGATGATGCTGACTCATGATAAATATCTCTAAATTGCAGGATAAAAGGATGGTGATATCAGAGGTCAGTATTTAACTTAGGATGAGGCTTTGACCCTGTCAATTGACAAGTTTTTAACAAAAGCTACTGTTTCTTTGAAGATGCCCAAATTAAATCCCCTCGCCTGAGAATGGTACATGATAGATGATGCTCGTAGGTGATCAAAGTTTTGTTATGATTCCTACGAGATACATTGTTTGTTCATTCAAAAACTTAGTTGTTTCCTATTCTGTGTATCCTGTTAGTCGTTGTAATAATGGTCTATGAATGATAATCATAATCCTTGATGTCTGCAGATGGTGAGGATAATCTGCTCCCTCGTATCTCATGATTGAAGAAGGCTTGATATGGAGCAAGGGCACGCCGTCCTTTTCGCTAGGCCCTTTAGCCTCTTGTATAGGCTTATTCTTTGTACTGGTGAGGTTCATTGTTTATATTATCGTAATATTTCTTTACTGAGATTTTATTTGGTTTACTTGGAGTTGTAAATGAATGCATGCGTTCTCTCACATCATCCTCGAAATTTTACCCTAAAAAATCCGTAAAATGTACATGAAATCTTTGAAAGATTCATGTATTGTATATACAAGGTTTGAAGATTCAGGGAGTTCAGGACTCGGGGTTTGTGAAATTTAGCCTTTATCAATTTCACACAATACATGTATTGTACATACAAGGTATAGCACATGATATGTGTATATGCGCTGCTCTGTTGAGTTTTATGTGGATTCAGGTAATTGCAAATCACTTTCGGGTGGGATTTCGAAACCCATTCATTTCTATCCTGTACTTATTGGTGGATTTTCGAAACCCATTCAACTCAGTAGAAGTTGGTGCTACGTCTTGGTATGGCTTTAGCTTAAAGTAAAAAAAAAAAAAAATTCAAGAAGATTACTTCTAATGTGACCGCTTCAGAATTACTAACAAGAACTACCTCCATTTTTGTCATTGTCTTGGGAAAAGCTTTTGGAGATTTGATGCTGCTATACCAACCACTGCACTTACTCGTTTCTTCTCTTTGTGAGGCCATGCTTGTGTCAATATTCCTCATTCTACTGAACTTCTGCACAAATTCATCCTTTACTTCCTGAATATTCCCTTGCTATCATCCTTTTCTGGTTAAGCCTTTTGTGCAATTTTTGGATATAAGCAATATATGACATCAAAAGTTTTTGTCCACACCCCCCGAAACGCATAAGAGACTTTCCTCATCAAATTTTTGCATTGGATTATAAGGCTGTTTCTCTCAACTGTGGTATATTGTTATAAGCAAAATCTAAGTCATCAAATTTAGATAATTTGGATATTTTGCACCCTTTTTTTCCGCAACTCAAATTTGAGTTCTTAATAAATTTCTTGTTAGCTTATCATAATTTTGTTTCGCTTCTTATATCGTTATAAGTACCTTTCCTTTATGTGGCACATCCCATATGGAAAAGCCATCAGATTACAGTTAATTCAGAACTTAACATGGATTTCTTGTTGAGAATGAAGAAGAAAGGAAAAGGTTTTAGCAGGAAATTTTGGTCGCATAAATTTAATAGAAATTATCTTCATAAGTAGTAGAGGCAATAAACTAAAAGTCAAAAAAGATTTCTACAAATTGATCAAAGGCTAATTAATGAGCTTGGACTCATGGGTCAAGTCCACCAAAGAAATTTTGTTGCATAAAGGCATTAGGTGATGATCCCTACTTTTACTTCTCATTTGTCACCCTTAGTTAACTTAGCCTTTACCCCAAAGGGTTTAGACTCTAATCCAAAGTTATATGTAAGCTGCAATGGCTTTTTCATTCATGTCATTCTCACTCTTTTTTCCCCTTATATACACACACAAGTTAATAATTCATTCACACCCCCTGACCTCAAACACTTATAAAGTCTCATAATAAATCCTCCCTCTTTTTTACGTCTCCCACCGGTATGTCTTGCTTTTCTCATGAAGAAGAGAAACAAAGCTTGTGCTCTATGCCATCTCTCATCAGAGAAGCTTGTTCTTATTGCCATATTTCTTCTTGCCTCAAATCCTCTTCTTCTTTGAGCTTCGAAGACGAAGGAGGAGGAGAAGACACTCTATCCGATAGTGATATTGATAACAAACATGTTCATCTACTTATCTATATACACTTGTTCTTTCTCCTTCGCTGTGGTCTTCTTTCTCGTTTATGCTGATTTATACTTTTGTTTCGTTGTCAGGTGATAATATTGGAGATCAGAAGTCGAGCAATGAAAGCGAAAGCAAAGCCGAAAGACTACTTGTTCTCTGACAACCTCCACTGGTTTATTGCACCAAACGAAACCAAAGAGAAAGGCGATAATAACGATGGCGATGTCCAGAGTGAGGTGTTCTACTCAGTGAAGAGCTGCTTCTCTCGCTGCTCAAGCGAGAAGGAGAACGATATCCTTAGCCATTTTAGGAGGAGAAATTCGATATGGGAGGAGTTCTTGCACTGTGAAGGGTGGCCTTTTGGCCTGAGCAGGAAAGCTCTGATGCTGCCACCTCTGCCGAGATCTCCTCCAGACTCCTGGACTTGGAGCAAGAGGAACACCGGTACCAAGTTTTGTGCTGCTACATGAAGAAGTACGAGTGGATAGCTTCCTGTGTTTTGAATGCCATATGTATGGTTTCCTGAAATATTATTATTAGTTTCACAAAAATTTCACAAAACCACCCCTCAACTCCGGAGGTTTCCGCGAACCCTTGAACTTTATAATTCCTCTACAATTTTGGTCCCCTAATGGAGCTAGTGGATTTGGTTAACGTGAGTAGCGTCGTCTTTTAATCAGATCAACTCTTTGAGGGGGGTCACTCTATATAGTTCCTGGTTGTTTTTAGAGGATTTTATGAAGTTTAGGGGGCTTTGTTGGGAACCTCCAACGTTTAGAGGGTTTTTTTTGGGAAACTTAATTAGCCCTTGAAATAAGCAGCATCATGTAGATATATGAAAATCCAAGAGTTTGGCTTGTTGTATAACCCATGTCCATATTGAAAATTTCTGGCTTTGTTTTGGTAGTATTTGATTTGGGACCCTGAATTTAAGCTTGTTTTCTACTGCAAGAGCTGTGTTTTGGTAGTATTTGATTTTGGACCCTGAACTTATGCTTGCTTTCTAGTGTAAGAGATGAGCGGTGGCAATAAGGACGCATGCCCCCTTCATATTGATTGTTAGCTGGTGTGTCAGCTTACGTAGCATTAGTTGTCAGATATCTTAAAAGCGATTAATCAGATCAAGTCCCTTAAACATACATGACATATTTATAAGCCTGATGAAATGGATCAAGTGGTTATGATCCATACCAGTTTGTTGCCGACCGCTATACAGTAATTATGGGTCGGGCTTCGGCCAACCCACTTATTAGATCAAATCAGGGTTGGCATCTCAAGAGAGAGAACTAGAAGATCCATGGTAGCAAGTGGTGAATGAATTATGTGACTCAAATCATCTGGCTCAGACTTCTCACGGGACAAATACTGCAGTCGAACAGTACTAGAAAGGGATTTGCTCTACCTATTTTGTGACTTATTTTTGGCTCATTATGACAAAGTCAGCATAGCCACAGGGAAGTGAGCAATTGGCACTGGTGGAAGACATTAAACGATACATTAAGATTAGTAAAAGTTTGGGTAAATTTCATAAAACCCCCACTGAGTTTGGGCGTATCTCAAAAACTTCCCTTAACTTTTAGAATAGCATAAACCTACCCTCATTAAGTTTTGCGGTTCTTAGAAAACCCCATTCAATTTTAAATGCTTTCCAATAACATCCCCACACCAATAAATAAAGAAAGAAATAAATAAAGATAAGAGCATGAACCACAATTTTCATTAACATGACATAAGTATTGAAACAACTATAGATGTATAATCAACATGTACTTGGATATTTGGATCTGGATCCGGATATTTCATTATATAACCATATCTGTAACTTTATCCTATCGCTTATAGATTAGAGCTATCACATCCGTATCCAAACGGATATGGTTACAGATATATTCGCGGATATGGTTTTGCATCTCTGGATCTAGATGACAACATACGTGCAATAGGATAAATCTGCATCTAGATTATGCATAGCAAAAAACAAGAAAACCCTAACTTGCATCTAGGAACATAAACATCAAGTTTAGGATTTAACAAATTGATCGTTTCTGGAGGATCGACATGTCTTTCTTGATCAACGGCTAGAGGGAGACCACAAT